CCACAACACACCACAACACTACACTACAAAACACACCACGCTACAACATACCACACCACACGACAACACATTAAAACACAACACACGACAACACCCCCGTCATACCGATCTACTTGTGTGTTGCCACAGGCTGGCACGGCGTCAGTTGCGAGGAGCCGTGTCCTGCGGGTCGGTTCGGCGCCGGTTGCCAGCAGGTCTGCGAGTGTGTCTCCGACGTGGCCGGCATCTCGTGCGACCCGGCGACCGGGCGCTGCTTGTGTCCGGCCGGCCGGTCGGGCGCCACTTGCGCCGACGCCTGTGCCCCCGGGCGCTGGGGCGAAGGCTGCTCGCGTTGGTGCGCCTGTCTCCGAGGCGGCGTCTGCCAGCCCGTCTCGGGTCACTGCGATTGTCCCCCCGGTTGGCACGGACACGCCTGCGAGTTGCCATGCCCCGAGGGTCGTTGGGGCCGCGGCTGTCTCTTGCTCTGTCGCTGCAACGGCCCTGCCGACGGCGGCAGATGCGATCGTGTCACCGGCCGCTGCCACTGTCCCGATGGGTTCGCCGGCCAACTCTGCGATCAAAGTCAGTCTCATACCAACACCAACACACACACACACCCTCTGCATATCCACAACATTCATTATTTGCTCTTGCCAACCTTCGAAACCTCGAAAGTCAGCCTCTTCCCGTCGCCACAACTTTTCCCATTTTCTCCCTCGAATCCCCTTGCCCCTTCCCCCCAATCCTGGCGCCATTTCCCCTTTTCCCTTTCGCCCCTCCCCCTTCTCGCAATTCCCCACCTCCTCTCCAGCTCCGTTTCTCCACATCTTTCCGACTGCTCAACTTGTCCTGGCTGCTCTTCTCCACTCGTACGATTCCATTCCTTCTCGTCGCCCCTTTCTCCCAGCCAATAGCCGACGTGCACCTGCACCACAGCTTTCCAATTGGCTGCAAAACTGTTGTCATCCCCCTCTCATTTCCCAGCCAATCACTGACAGCGCACACGTCAATCCTTTCAAAGCCGTCAAGTGGTGCCCTTCACCACTCCCGGCACTCAACAGCCACTAAAAGGCACTCTTTTTACACAAGTTTAGACATATCCAACTCGTTAGAAACATTCACTTCCCACAAGCCGGTTAACCACGTAAAGCCGATTTGTGCTTTGGCCTCTTGTGTGTCTGTGTGTATGTGTCTTTGTTTGCTTGTCAGTCTGTGAGTCTTGGTAGAAAGCATTACGTTGCTTTTAGTCTATTTTTTGTCATGATTTAACATACACCCGACGCTCTATTCCAGATCCTCTTGCAACTGCACCCTGTCCGTTGCATCCTCACTCGTCATCCTCAAAATCCGTCCACTTTTCACACTCAATCAGTACCGCAATCGACAGCGTGATTATCGGTCAGTTGTCAAGGCCAGGCAAGAGGTGGCAACTCACAGCTTTTTGGCGATGTTTAGATTGAAGCGGTTCTGCAAATGGTCTGTTGAAAGTAGCCAAGTGAAAGAGTTAAAGACACCTCCACTCTTACGACAAACGCCAAACGGCATTGAAAGTGGTGCAGTTGGAAGATGATAAACAAAGAGAGAGAGAGAGAGAGAGATACTTTTGTTACTTGCCCATTTTTCCAGTTGCCATTCGTAGATTAAGTATCCACTTGGCAACACTGACAACACCGAAAACGATGCTGGTCAAATGTCGGGAAATCTTCCAAGTCTTGCATCCGAGGCGGCAAAGGCAGACGACGAAGGAGAGGCTGCGGAGACTAATTGCGACAAAAAGAGACTCGAATGCGGGGCACCAATGCGTCATAATTTGGACATTTACGCATTTTTTCGGCCTTTTCTCTTCCACTTTCAGCCATTTCGGTTGGCAAAGTTATTCTTTTGCAACATTTGTTTTGAACATTTTCATTTCCTATAAAAGTGTGCTTGATGAGAAGATGCGCAGGTTGGTCTGACCGGAGGACGACGACTGATTAGCGTCATACTGCAGCCGTTTGGCTGGAAAATCACGTTCAGGTTGATACATCCCACGAGGTCTCCTCCTTCTGTTCACATGAAAATAGGTTCAATTATAGTTTGTCAAATGCTGAAAATCCTCCGAAATGGGACTCATTATTACAAAAAGTCTCAAGATTACATAAAGACAAAAGGCTAACCATCTCTCTCTTAGATCATAATGAAAAAGCATTCGATTATAAATTCATCTAGAATGATCCAGTTGGTTCTCTTATACTATACTGTATGTGTGTATGTTTTATGTTTGCATTAACATCTGTAGCAATATCTTTTTCGAATAAAGTATTGTTTTCGTGACTACCAGTAATTCAGTAGTATGAAATGTATACACCCAATTTTGTTGACATTTTCATTGAATTTCACATAGTCTTGCTTTCACAATGGAAACGTCAGCTCAACTCATATGATTGTGGGAAAATTCTTCTTCTACCAGTCCTTCATCACCTTAAACGAAATTGGGTGAAAACATCTCATACTACTGATTTACTGGTAGTCACGAAAACAATACATAATAAAAAAATGTAGGAATGATGCCTTTTCTGCTCTGATGATTAACACCCAATTTCGTTTAAAGTAATGAAGGACTGGTAGAAGAAGAATTTTCCCACAATCATATGAGTTGAGCTGACGTTTTCATTCAATTTCACATCAGTCCACTCTGGATGAGAACAACTTTTGGTAAAGCAGGGCTATGTGAAATTGAATGGAAACGTCAACTCAACTCATATGATTGTGGGAAAATTCTTCTTCTACCAATCCTTCATCACCTTAAACAAAATTGGGTGAATACATCTCATGTAGCATTGTAGTGCATAACTCAGAGTAATCACAAAGAGCCTAACCTTAGACCCGGGACATTAAGTCTTGCTGACGGAAGGACAAGCATGACCCAGATTGCGTTGGTCACTAGATGACTCCGAGAGAATTATTGAGATGTAGGCGTGTAAGTGTATAGGTCATGATCCATCGGTCTGGGGTCATTAAAGTTGAAGAGTCCACTGTGAAACATGACTGGGATTGCGCAATCTTGTAGGATTTTGTGTGTGTGTGAACTCTACGGAACTGTGGAGCGAGTGTGAATTTGCTTAAAAGCCTGACCCAGTCGACAATTTGAGTCTTCTCCTTTTTTATGCCTTAATTGCTTACTATTTCGCTTATCTTCTTCGGAAGAAGGTATAACGGCAAGAGTGGAAGAGGTGAAAAGATCTCAGCTT